CATTTATAAAACATATAAAATACTTTGAAACATGTTAAACAGTATAGGAAAATAAAAATAATTTTTTTCTAGTAACATTGAAAACATAATTTAACTGCTATTTTTATAAACATATAATTAAAAGATAACAAACTTTAATTATTTAAATATAGTTTTACAAAAAAAAAGTTATCTCTACTATATACTACATATTTTATAAAATACTTTAATTACTCTAGTTAATAAAAAATTTCACATAAAAAACATGAACAACTTTGCTTCAAAATGTTTTTATAAAGTTTAGAATAATTCACTAAAAGTCATATGCTTCGAGTTTTGGAGATTCTGATTCATCTTACTGCAACACAAATTCATATTTTAGAACAAAAGTTGATAAATCAATCTTCTGTTTTCAAAAATTATTTTCTTCAAGGTAAAGATAATCTTCGATCAATTATTATTTTTTCAAACTGCAAGGTTGGTTGTAGAAAATATTATTTTTTTTCATGTCTTTATACTTCAACTTTCAGCATTAATTAGAAACCTAAACAATAATATAAATATATTTTGCTTGCAGCGCAAATTATGGAAAAAAATAATGCAAAAAACAACTAATATTTTACACTTTTTATTTTCTAATGATATTTAAAAAAAAAAAATGAAATTTAAAAAAAACGAAACAATAACAATCCAAATAAAATTGAAAAATTGCAAAAGCAGGCAAAAAAAAACAACAACCCTGATTTAGGTGTAGAAGAATTGTAATATAATTTTAATTATATATTAAAAACTAGTTTTACTTAAATTTTGACACTGTAAAAGTTAAGTAATGATTTTAATGAAACAAGTATAAATCATAATTTTTAATAATATAATTTACATAATATATTCTAAATATAATCATAAAATTTATTTTATGATTATATAAATTATAAATTTTTAATTAATAAATTTAAAAAAAGATTTTTTTTAACTTTCCGAAAAAAAAATTTAATTAACAAGACTGCTTGCCCAAACTAAACATTCATTCCATGTATGTATAGTCTATCCCTATTTAGATCAATCAATGGCAAGTAAAAACTTATTTTATCTTTTGATAAAGAAACATAATCATTGCTAAATAAATATTTAGATAAAATTATCAGTTCTAAAAGTTTATTATAATAACAGGATCAAAACCTGCAGATAAGTGTATTTTTGTGTGTGTGTGTGTGTTTGTAAATTTACCTCCCCAAGATGGACACTACAATTAAGGAGGCTACAACACTCTCTCAATTCAATAACTCTGAAACATTAAATCTGACAAAGCCGCTGCACAGAGAAACAAGTATTGAGCTATTAAAAAAAAACCTTGCCTAACATGGACTTGATTTGCAAAAATATACCACGAACATAATGTTTGATAGAGTGTTATTAAAAAAAGATAAGTAGTTATTAACAGTAAATCAACAATTTGCACGTGGTGTGGCCCTTATTGTAGCAATATATTCAAAGTTGGATAGAATGGGAAAAAACAAGATTTTTAGAGAGTAACATTAGGGAGAATTAAGATATTTTTGCAGATTCAAGATCAGCTGCCTCATCTGTTAAGAGATCAAATTGTAATGAACTTTTGTCATGACAGAACTATATATTTGTGTTTTTAGCAAATGTGTCACTTAAGATTTAAGATTGTAAGAAATATAAGAAAGATAAAAAACAATACAGGACCATAAATAGAACCCTGCAGTACCCCAGATGTAAATGGGAATGAAAAAGAATGTTGGATTTCAAGGACAACTTTGATACTTCATTTAGAATAGAATGATTTGATAAGCTCAAAAACTTTGCCAACACGCCTTAAAAAGCAACCTTATGAATAAGACCAGTATCCCAGACATAACTATTGGAAATAGTTCTGGCTTATTCTTGGGAGATGTAATAAGATCAGACCCATGTCTAGTAAGAGATAAAATATTAGACCTTTGTTGAATATTTTCCAAAAATCTCTAGAACCTAACTTCTGAGATAAAATACGAGATTTAGTAAATTGATGAGTAAACTGGAACTTAGCATCAGACAGCATCTTTTTGCATTGATTTCTTGCTATACTAAAAAATCATGAACCTGACTTAAAATAGTTAAAAGAAATTACTTTTGTAAGCAGTACTTTAACATTTTACTCAGAGGATTTTGAATACACATTAGGAAAAATATTTATCTCAAGGGAGACTGGTAATTAAGGTGAACGGTCTGTTAACCTTAATTTCCAGTATTCTTTAGATAAATAAAAGGAATCCCCTAAGCAATGTTACAGTACTACTAACACATTCAAACAGAACACAAACAACTTATAGTAACTTCAGGATAAGTGAACACCACGCCAGAGGTTCAGACAGAACACAAACATACATTTAGTAACTAGCAGGTGAATAAACACCATGCCAACCTACATATTTAAAAAAGACACCTCTCAAAATTGTTTTTGATTTTATAACTTTTCATCAAAACCTTTTTCTATTTTGAATAAGATGAAATTAATAAAACTATATATAATTCTTGTTGACTAAAAAACCCATCAGTATATCATTTTGAACATGCTCAATTGATATACTGATGGATGCACTCTGTATTCTCAAAACATATTTAATATATAATAATAAATATATATAAAATAAACATAATAATATAAAAATAATAAACATATATAAATAAACATATATAAATATATAAATATTAAACATATTTTATAAATATCAAACATATATAAATATATAAATAAACATATAAATAAATAATATATAATAATAAACATATATAGTAATAAATATATATAAAAACTTTTTTTATTAAAAAGAAAAAAACAACTTCGGTTAAACATAAAGTTTAACTCCAAGTGTAACAAATTTAAAAACAAACTCAAGTAAAACTTTATTTACCTTTATCGATCATAAACTTAAATTGATAGAATATGTTATCCATAATTTCTCTTTACACTAAGTCTGGGCTGTCAGTACCAAAACAATACTTAAATGAGCTATCTTTGTACTTATTTTCCTGATAAACACTCTAAAATTAATGTAAAATATTGATATTTTAGTATGCATTGGCAAAAATAATAGTAAAAATAAATTAATTATTCAACTTGAATTTTTTAAATTTAAAATTTAATTTTTACATGAATTTGAGTGTGCATTTTATAAAATAAAAATAACTTTAAACAAATTCAGAACATCTAACAAAAATTAGGTTTTAAAATTTTAGCATTAAAAAAAAAAACTTACTGCTGATGATGTGCGACATTTATGCAAACATAATTCAAATGTATCTTTTACTTCTCTTAATAATGGATTTCGTGCCATATGTGCATGAACTAGTATTTTTTCTATAAGCCTTCTCTAAAAATATAGAATTATGCATAGGATATAGCATAAATGCATAGAAATTTATGTGAAACAAAAAACAAACTATTTATTTTGAGAGCTTCTTTCCATTTATGTTTATTTCATGTCCACTGTTACTGGCCACATGTAGATTTTTAATACCTGGCTACAGGCAGATTTTTCTGTATTAGGCCACAGACAGAGTTTTCTATATTTAGCCACAGATTTTTCAGTGCCTAACCCTAGCCAAATTTTTCTTTACCTGGCTACAAGCAGTGCTGTGATTTTTACTCAAATAGAATTGGGGTCAAATAAAATAATTCTTAAAAATACTTAAAAAACAAAATCAGAGAACAAGAGTGAAAAGACAAAAAAACTATAAAAGTTTTTTGTGTTCAAGAACCAGACAAAATTAAAACTATTTTAAATTGAGTTACTGTTCTGAACTAAATCAATGTGTATTGTTTAGAGCCTGGTGAGTTATTTTCTCAATCTGCAAACATAAAAAAGTGGCTATTTGCACAACTAATTTTTTTTTAAAGGTTATTTTAATTTACATATTTTATTTAATTTACATATATTTACACAAGATTTTTTATTTTAATTTATTAGTTTTTTAAAACAAACAGAATTTTAAATTTAAAACATATTTAATAAAATATAAAAAATATTTAAAATTGAATATAAAAATAAATAAAATAAAACATGAAAATTATTTGAGCAAAATATTGAAAAGCTTTTAATAAAATACTAATTAGCTTATAAAATACCAGAAATATTTACATAAAATATATACATATAATATAAAAAATTAATTTCAAAATGATGAGAAATACCATACAAAAGCAAAAATTCTATATAAAAATCCAATTTTTAAAATGAAACTTTAAAATTGACTTTTTATATAGAAGTTTAATTCATTTTTTTTACAAGTTAACAAGTTTTTTGATACCAAAAACAAAAACATTAGGAGCTGACGATAATAAAAATATTAGGAGATAACTATAATAATATTATTAGGAGATAACTATAATAAAAATATTAGGAGCTGACTATTCTAAAAATATTAGGAGCTGACTATAATAAAAATATTAGGAGATAACTATAATAAAAATATTAGAAGATAAATATAATAACAATATTAGGAGATAACTATAATAAAAGTATTAGGAAACAACTACAATAATAATATTAGGAGACAACTATATAGATAAATAGATGACTATAATAAAAATATTAGAAGATAACTATAATAATAATATTAGGAGATAACTACAATAAAAATATTAGGAAATAAATATAATAAATTATTAGGAGATAGCTATAATAGTTAATATAAATTGCAGTTAATACAATCTGTTGTAATGACTATTATTGCAGTATTTTAAAATTTATACTTTGGTATTTATTATCAAATGTTTATATATATAATCAAACTTAAAGAGAATTGGCTTTCTTTGCAGATTCAATCTATTCCAATGAGGTATAACCCTGTTTGTAGGTAAAATTGTCTCTATGTTGTTTCTGCAAATTCCTTTTCAAATTTTAGCAAATGACCTTTTAGACTTTCTAATGTTCATTATGTTCAGAGTTTTCAACCTGCTTTACCATTTCAGTTATTGCCGATTAAACCTGATTTTATATTGGATGACACTATTACACCTAAATCTTGTTATTTTGTTGTTGTTTTTAGAATTAAATTTTGATTGACATATTTCATGTTGTTATTGTAATTAATATTATTTCTTTCAATGTGCATAACGCATATTCTTTTATAAATTCTTTTTAATTGATTTTAGTACTGTCTGCATATAGGTTTGTGATTCATGAAACATATTTGAGAAGATTATTTTTATATAACAGAAGGATAAGAGGACCTATTACCATACCCTGTGGTACAACACTATTAATTTCACACCATTCTCATACAACTTTACCTATTATCTTTCATAATTTTTTTTTTTAAAAAAAAGACCAATTTATAACATTGCCTTTTATTATATACTTAAAAGACTTACATATAAGTTTATGATTCTGGTACTTTACCAAATGCCTTTGTGAAATCTAGGTACACTATATCAGTTGGAAAACCATTTTCAATTCGGTTGTAATGATACAAAAAATTTCTAATAAATTTGTTAGGCCCCCTTTGTTTTGTACAAAGCAATATTGTTGATTTTTTATATTATTTTCTATAAGATAAATAATCAAATTATTTTCTACAGTGTTGTTGTTGTTGATGTTAGAGAGATCTATAACTATATAAGATGTATATCTGTAATTTTTTTTTCTACTATTGTTCCATTTCTAACAAACTCTATATGCAAAATATGAAAAACAGCAAGGATTTTTTTATGTAGAATATGTTTTATATGCTTTGTAAGTTTTACAAAATAACATCAAATAATAAGTAAAATTACTTTTAACTGTTTTAGTTAACACAGTAAACATTATCTTCAACTGCAATGTTTTACTTTTGATGACTTACTGTATAATGTATTTATGTATGATTCATGTTATAAAGTTAATTGAGGATCATCCAATTAACTAAAAATGTCATGTCAATTCAACTAAAAAAAAAAAAATTTAACACCATTTTGATAATTTTCGGTATAGAAGCTTAAATAAATAAAAACAAACTTCATTCCGTATTTTAGTGTCCAGCTCCTTAATGGTTCAAAGATATCATTACTCAATCCCAATTTCTTTTTTTACTGCTTTTTTCAGCGGCATTGATTTTTTAAACAAATTGTATCACACAATTAGACTTATGTATTCAGTATATCATTTAAGATAAAACTTATGTTTTATCTTTAATGATATACTGAATAATGTAGATATGGTATATACAATTGCAAACACTTTATAACCATGAGCAAGATTTTACTATAAAATGTACATGGTTCTTCTTTACAACATGCCACAGTAAACAGGCATTGGTAGGACTGTGAAAAGACTAACTTCAATTGCCCTCATAGAATACTAGTTACAATTACTTAACGGGTGTTTAGTTTTATCAACAAACTTATTGTTAACAACTAATATTCTAAATACTGTCACAACAAACAATAATAATGAAAACTGGGCAAAACTTAAACAATGTAACTTTATTCAAAACCATTGTATGGTACAATTTGCTTAAAAAAAGAATTATTTTATATCTAAAACACATATTTATATCCAAATGCAAAATTAAGTTTCTTTTTTTAAAAAAATAAGTTTAAACAAATATTTATAGGTAAATAAACAAAAAAATGTTACCATATTGAAAAAACATACCTTTCGAGGCACTGGTTGCAGACAACAAGATACACAATGCTCATAAACCTCACAACATCTATTAGTATGACATGAATTACAGTTGTAGCGTACTGTTGAATTTGCGTGAAAATTACAGCAACCATTTTTGAGAACATTATTTATCATGCAAACCTGTCCTGAAAATTACAATTATTTGTATAGAAGATTAGTAGTAATTATAATAAATTAATACTATATCATTATTATATACCTATTTTGTTTATTTAAAGTCAAGATATGAGGCCATTACATATATACACTTATATATGACCAAACTTTATAATCTTTTTTTGTCACTTAACTTCAAAGATCTTTTTAGTGTTAGTGTGATAAGGAGAAAATTTGAAGTTTTTTCTAATTATGAATTATCACTTTTCCATTTTTTCATTTTATTTTAATTTTTAATTAATATGTCTCTATGTGTGCTTATATATATACATACATATATATATATATATATATATATATATATATATATATATATATATATATATATATATATATATATATATATATATATATATATATATATATATATATATGTATATATATTAGGGGTGTTCAGGATAAGCTATCAGGATGGATATAGGAGTGTTATTTGGTATTCAATCTCTGGCCGGATAATAAATTTATTGCGTTTTTTCTATACCGGATATTTCATGTTCATATCATTAGAAAATTGAAAGAAATCTAGAAATGTATTATTTTTAAATAATCTAATGTTAATGGTTTCTATTCAATATTGTTGTTATTGTTATTAAAATACTACTAATATTATATATGCGCAACAAATATATCAGTTTATCACTTATTTGTATTTCTTTTATCTCAACGAGGAGAAGTTAACATTTCACCACGTTGAGGTAGCTTGATTACTTTTTCTCATAAATATCAGAAATCTCAGCGGATGCAGGTGGTGCTCCTAACTTAAGTGCTAATTCTTTTATCAGTTGAATCTTCTCTTTATGTTTCCAATAATTTAAAACAAAATTATTTTTTTCTTTAATCAAGTGATTAAAGAAAATTACAACTCCTTGACAGCTCTTACAAAATAAACTTGATCAGAATTCAATACATTTTGAGATTCCTTGTGCAACTGAACAAGATTCAATAATTTTTTCTCTCAATACAACTTACAAGGAAATTTTTTTGCGTGATTATGCAGTGGAGTTGCGGAAAATGACTTCTGACCAGATTTATTACATTCATTGCTCATCTGTTTTCTGCATAGAATGAAAATTGCTGTGAAATCACAATTATTCTGAAAAGCTTCCAAACAAAACATGCCATTTTGAAAGTTTATCATGGTTTTATATATATATATATATATATATATATATATATATATATATATATATATATATATATATATATATATATATATATATATATATATATATATATATATATATATATATATATATATATATATATATATATATATAAATAAAGCAAAAGATAGTCAAGCCAGTAAACAAAAGCAAATCTTTTTTTCTCAAAATATTTATTATTAAAAATTTTTTTTTTTATTTTCCAAAAAATACACTAATACAAAGTATTTTTATATAATTAATTAAATAAACTTTAAGCACTAAAGGCCTTTCAAAAAATCATCAGTAGTGCTATTTTGGTATTGTAGTAAGATTTTTGTATACAAAATAAATTTAATTGCATCTTGTTGCTATGAGTAACTATTTTGATGAATTAAATTCTAATAACACACAGGAAGTATTAAAAGTATCATGTTTTTGTTTGTGCAGATGCTTTTCGTATGATAACAAAAAACTTTCATTGTTAAGCTCAAGGAAAACAAAAAGTTGAAAAAAAGGTTCAATTACATTTTGATGGGAGCGTTGACAGGTATAAATGTGGTTGTCAAATCTATTAGTTGATAGGCCAGTTCTGCGACTAGAAATCTATTAGTTGATAGGCCAGTTCTGCGACTAGAAATCTATTAGTTGATAGGCCAGTTCTGCGATTATGTCTATTTATTCATAATCTTAAATTGCTAGTTTTGCCAGTATATGTGGCTTGTTTTTTGCATGCCAAACATTTAAGGTAATAAATTACAATTTTGCTGTTGCATGTGATATGACTTTTTAATTTCCAGATAGTACATTTTTAGAAAACTCTTTGACAAAATCGCTTGTAAAACTAATTGATTAATTTAATTCAGTAAGAAAACATTTTAAAAATTTCTCTTACTAAAGATCAACGAATTGATGATCAGCTGACTTTGCCACCTCAGTATTAGCACACGCAATCAACATAAAAATCATTTTTAAACTTTGCAAAAAGTATTGTTTGTGTTAATGACCACGCTGAGAGAGCAATTGGAATGATGCAACATTTTGCTCATTGCTACAGAGATGAGGAAGAAAAGCAAAATAGGCTTATTGCTGTGTACAAAGTTTGTTCAATTTTTAAGGCATCAGGCAGTGAATCTTTATTAAGCAAGAAAAAAAATAACAATGTTTTAAGCAAGAAAAGAATTGCAAAAGGACTACTTAGCATACGCTCCAAAAAACAGAATATAGCTTGAACTTTAGAATTTATATTTAAAACATATTTTTAAAAGATACAAGTCTCACGTAATTTAAGTTCATTAATCGTGTATCAATTAAGCAACTTAATCAACTTATAAAAAAATATTTTTCTATAAAATAAAATTTATTATAGTTTATATAAAAATAAATTAAAAAAAAATAATAATAAAATAAAAGCCAAACAATGTGATTATAAACAAATCAAATAATTACATACGTAGAATTTTTTTGTTCAATACGCTTATTTTTGTTTTTTTCATAAAATTGTTTTCAATTTAATGAATGATTAAGAAAAATCACGGATACACATCAATTAAAAAAAAAGTATAGACTATTATGTGCACATTAAAAAAAAAAAATTGAAAATATTAAGATTTACCTAGTGCTCAAAGCCTTGTTACTTGGGCACTATTTGGGGCATTTTTGGGGGTGTTTTGACACTTTAAATCTCAATTTTTTTTTTTTTTTTTGTAATTTTTTTTTTTTTATATTTGCCTCAAATTTAGCTTGTTGTGTATTCGCGTTTTCAAAATTTTATTTTTTTGAACACCCCTATATATATATATATACATACATACATACATACATACATATATATATACATACATATATATATATATATATATATATATATATATATATATATATATATATATATATATATATATATATATATATATATTATATATATATATATATATATATAAATTATTTTATCTAATATTTTGAAAGAAAAACTTATAACAAAATTACGTACGGTCTAAACGATTATTTAAAAAAAGTTGCGCAAATAAAATACTATTTTGTTTTTAATTTTTTTACAAACACATTTTAGAACTTTAAAATATAATAAAAATGAATATGATTTGGAAATTGCATGTAAAAAATAATAATCGGTGTTTTAAACAAACAAACAAAAAAATCTATGATGTCATGTACTAAAACTTCTATGAATTAAACACACTTGAATTAAAACACTCAGAAAAATTAAGTCTGCAAGCTAAGAGAATTAGATATTTATTTAACTCAGTAGATATTCTTATTAAAGATCCTTTGTGTATTCCTGTATTGTTTGATGTCGTATCAAAACAAAGTAATCCAATCTTTGATTCGAGATTGTACTCTTTTAGGAGTTTCATTACACCATTGTAATCATCTTCTCCAGATGAGGAGGTTAATGGCGTAACTCCAAGAAGATGGGACTTATTATCAATAGTTGCCAGAACAGCAAGTCGATCATGCTTAAATTTTTTTTTCATTATTAATTTTATTAAATGTCTCCGTCAAAATGCATGGGTAGGGAGAAGCTTGGATGCTAAGTTCAACATCTTCTTTAGCAATAACTGCCATTTTATGAGATGTTTGTTTTAACTTTCTAGAAGCTGTTGACCTTCTGCAATTTACATTTGTAAGATCAACCCCAGAACTATCAAGGATTGTAGCAGTAACTTTTGTCAAACATTAGGAGATATATCAGAAATTGTGGCAATTAGAGCAACATTACCTGAAATAATATCTTTTGGGATCTCAGCTTTTATTAGACTACTTGACTCCATAGAACGCTAATATCCTGGGTCAAAATTTGAATCAAAAGGTGAATCATTGCTGGTGTCTGTACTAAATTCTAAATCTGAATTTTTTTCCAATGATTTAGCAGCATTTTTTATAGATGGATTTCTCTTTCTTATATTCTCCAAAATCTAAACAACATGCATTATAAAATAAAAATTAATGAACCCAAACTAAAAAACAATGAAAAATTAGCGAAGAGTGAGCAATGAGATGAGAATTTTTAAATTAAAGAAAGAGTTTTAATATGGATTATCTTCTCGCTATATTTCTTGACTTTAGGCCCTAGAAATAACTTTCTGCTATGTTCTTGATCGTATAAAAAATCTAGGTCCTCTTTCTGATCTATTTTTGTCCTTCTTTTTCTAATTTTGTAAGTCAGCTTTTCCTATCCAAAAGATTTTCCCCAGCTCTTTTCTAAAGTCTTGTTGCCTTTTTAACTCTAAAGGCGACCTCCTGTGCATGTTTTTTTTTCAACTTCAAATATTTTTTGTTCAACTTATTCAGCTTTTGCATAAAGTTATTATCTGATTGAAGAGAAAATCCATCTTTAAGCTAGGGACCCTTTATCTTGCTTAGAATACACTTACAATGCAGTTCAACGCACCTCTTTTTTTACAGAGCATGCAAGTATAATTGACTTTTTTGATGTTTTAGAAAGCATCGACTGATAAAAAGCTATGTGTTGTAAAATATCTATTCCAGTCAGCAGTTGATCAACTAAAGTTAATAACACAAAGGTTCAGGCTAAGTTTGTTCTTGTACAACCTGAAATCTTATTAAACTATAATCTTAAATATAGTCCTAAACTAAATATTTAAAAATAAAAGATAGATTTATATTGCAAAAACAAATATTGTTTTTGCAATATAAATCTATCTTTTATTTTATTTTTAAAAAATATTGTTTTTATCTGGAATTAGGTGTTTATGTCTCTAATTCCGTATGCGTATAAAATACAGAAAAACACATACACAAATAATACTAACATTAAAATAATTATTTTAATCCATTAAAAAATGAAATCGTTTAATAAAAAAAGAATATTTATTATTTTATACACATTAATTACAAATAAATTCCATGGTTGGACGATAATCAAAGACGCATTCAATGCATGACCAATTTAAACACTGCGCACACGCAAGCCATTGGTTCTCTAAGTTATTTGTCCAATTAATTTTGCAAGAATAACATAGAAGATCATCAGATACTAAAATGTTATTTGAAACTTGAGGAAAATGAGGGTCTTCTAATTGATTCTTTGTCTTTATACCTTTTTTACCTGGTATTTTAGACGACTGACTTTGTCTCAACTTTTTTTTTTCTTCTCTTTTCTGTGCATTTTTCACTTTTTGAGTATCAGTGGAAATCTTTTTTTGTTCTCTAGTAAATTTCTTTGCAGCTTGTTCATCTAATTTTTGTTTTTTTCATGCTTGTTCAGCTTCATCGTAAGCTATGGCATCCGCCGAAGTCATATTATAATTAGCTGGTCGCTTTATTCTCTCACTTTTTTGAACTCTTTTATTTAGAGTTGGTTTCAATTGATCTCGAAGCATATTTAACACTGATTTGTTTATATCTTTGCTGACTTGTTGAACAGCATTATTCAAAGTAGAAAAGCTTTTAAGCAAAAATTCACGATTTGACATTCTTGACGGTGTGTTAGATGTATTGGTAGCATTTCCCATAACTAATGGACTAGATACTGTTGAAGAATCAAATGAATTTTCAACTTCTTTTTGTTTAAAATTATCCATATTCTTTAATACAGTAATACAATTAACAGAAATGCGTTAACTTTATGGATGCTAAAAAAAATAGCTGTATCTGGATTAGTGTCAATTATTTTTTCCCTTGTGGCTATTTTATTTTTTATTACTTTAATGAACATAATATATTATATTATGTGCATGAAAGTGATAAAAAATAAAATTGTAATTAACTCTATCCGGGACTAAAAAGTGTATTTGTTTATTGCTGCTGGCTAATTTGTTTATTATTTTTTTTAGGTACATAAAATAATAATTACCTTTCCCCGGAATTAGGTGTCTTTTTTTTTTTGGCTGGTAGCAAATTTGTTTTTCATTTTTTTCAATTATTTCAAATAATAATTTAATCTTTTTTTGGGGGTAAAATAATCAGCATAAAATTCTGCACAAAATAGTGTTTTTACTTTTTTAATTTTTTTGTTGCAAGTCAAAGTTTTTTTTCCTTTTTTTTTGTTTTTCTAGTTATGAGAGATTTCAAATTGAAATCTTTCATGATTGCATTAGTTTATATAATTTTTTTTTTTATATTTTTCGATTTGTCTGGTAAAGACATTTATTAATTTAAAAAAATTATTCATAAATTCATTATATTAAGGGAGTTATGAAACTTTTTACTAAAACCATCCGAAATTAGGCTACATCCAGAATTAGGGGTTTTTACGGTATTGCTGGTTTCACTTTCTCAATAATAAAATGTTTATATATATTTTTTTTTATATTTTGCTTTCCATTCCTACTTTTTAATAGTTTCCTACTTTTGTTTGCACTTGAAAGCATTTTTTGTGACTCTTCATTGTTTTCTATTAAATTTTCCATTATTATTTTAAAAACTACTTTAAAAGAAATCACTTTCACTGATTTAAAAATATGAGATACAACTAAAATGTTTAAAGCAGAATTTTGCAATATACATTAATGTTAATTTACTATTGTCATTTTTTTCTTTTTACAACTTTTAAACAGGTAACAAAACTTTTTTATCAAGTGATAACAAAAGAAAAATGCAAACAAAGTAAACAAATCAAATAACAAAAGAAACAATAATTAATAAAACAAAAAAAAAAACAAGGAGATTTATTGTTTTTTTTGTTAACTATGCTTTAAAAAAAATATTTTTTCAGTATTTTTTTCATAAAATTGTTTTCAATTTAAAGAATGATTAAGAAAAATCATGAATACACATCAATTTAAAAAAAAACTATGAGAACATTAAAAAAATAAATTAAAAATATTAAGATTTACCTTGTGCTCAAAGCCTTGTTACTTGGGTACTATTTGGGGCATTTTTGGGGGTGTGTTGACCCTTGAGCACAAGGTAAATCTCAATTTTTTTATTGTGATCTTATTTTATATATTTGCCCCAAATTTAGCTTGTTGTGTATTCGCGTTTTCAAAATTTTATTTTTTGAACACCCCTAGTATATATATATATATATATATATATATATATATATATATATATATATATATATATATATATATATATATATATATATATATATATATATACATAGATATATATATATATATATATATATATATACATATATATATATATATATATATATATATATATATATATATATATATATATATATATATATATATATATATATATATATATATGTATATATATATGGAATGTTACAAAGGCAGTTTTATTGGAAGTCATAATTTGATAAATTAAATTTAAAACTTATAGTTTTAAATTTAATTTATCAAAGTCAGAATCAAACGCAAAGCTTTTTAAAAAAAACTGTTTGCAAAGTAAGGTGGGTAAAACCATTATATAAATCTGAGATAATTATGGCTCGTCAAATAGCTATATAATTTTGTCCGCAAAATTGCCCTAATAGACAGACAAAACTTTAGTGATGCAGTGTTCATTAAAAGCGTGTACACAACAGACAGATGCAGTGTCTATATAAAGCGTGTACACAAAATAAATGTGAAAGAATAAGTATGTCATTTTTTTTCAGTGATTATATTAAAATCTTTTTAATTGTTTTGTGTTTTGTTTAAAATGTGTTGGGGTTTCAAGAAAGTGTATTAGTTTTTAGATTAAACTTAAAATTAGTTTTAAAAATGACAAAAGAAGACATAAGAGAAAAAAAGTATGCACAAATATTTGGGAAATCCCAATAGATTACAATTCAATAGCAAAAGCATTGTGAAATACATCCATGCACCGTTAGTCGTGTAATTCAACGTTTTTCTCAAACAAAATTGATCAAACATAAATCTGGTGGTGGAAAAAAGAAGGGTTTTAAAGATAAAAAACTAGTTAGAAAACTGGTTAACAGTTTTAAGACTAACCCAAGCTTTTCACCAAGTAAAAGTTGTAAAAGTTCGCAATAAACATGGTTTTCATTCTTTCAAAACACAAAAAAAACACAACCAATCTAAAAATCAACAAAAAAGTGCAAAAACCCGCAGCAGAATATTGTTTGAAAATTTTATTTTTAAAAATTTCTGTATTAATGAAGACGATGAAACTTATATCAAGTACGACCATCAGCAAACTCTTGGTACTGTCTATTATATTGCCAAATGCATAGGAAAAGCAGATAAGAAATTTAAATACATAAAACATGACAAGTTTGCTAAAAAAGTCTTGATTTGGCAAGCTATTTGCAGTTGCTGTAAAAAATCAGCACCTTAAATTTCTCAGTCACACATTTTTGGGTCAAATATATGTTAAAGAGTGTTAACAAAAACGCCTTTTACCTCTCATTAAATCACACAATAAGAGACCTGCGTTCTGACCAGATTTAGCATCAATTCATTATTGTAAACTAGCTTTGGAATGGTATAAAAACAAAGTTTTTAGTTTTTTTTTTACCTGAAGTTTTAAAAATAAAAAAAATTATTAGCAAAACTTTTATTACACATTCAAGAATTAAAATAAAACCTTTTTTATTCATTTGCTGATAGACAAAACATAATCGTGTCAATTATCAAGAAAATAAAAAAAAACATTTAAAATTTTAAAGTACAAAAATCTAAGTAAACATGGATAACAATTTCACATAATAACATACCTGCATTATCTCTCTCTCTCTCTCTCTCTCTCTCTCTCTCTCTATATATATATATATATATATATATATATATATATATATATATATATATTTTTTTTACACTCTTTTTGTAGAATACATTTTAAATTGTTTATATATATATATATATATATATATATATATATATATATATATATATATATATATATATATATATATATGTGTATATATATATATACAGGGGCTACTCTAGACCATTTTCGCCAGCGTTGACCATATTTTGGTGCTGACCGCAAATATTGCAAAAAAAACCGCAGATATTCTGCTTAAGTCTGCCGAAAAGGGGGGGAGGGGTACCGCCGCCCAATTTCTTTTCTTAGAATAGGCCCTGATATATATATATATATATATATATATATATATATATATATATATATATATATATATATATATATATATATATATATATATATATTCAGCACCTTTCTCAAAATTAAATACTACCTTTCTCATCAGCAATGAGATAAGGACCTTGTTTTGAATTTCTGCATTTTTTCAAAAAAGTAGCATTACTCAAATCAAGCCAAGTAAACTTAGCCATAAAACTTTGTGTAGAACCTTGGTCTTTCTAAAAAATAATATTTTTCAAAATAGAAAGTAAAAAAAAAAAAATAACAATAAAAAAAAATAAAATCAATTAAAAATAGCATATCAATGAAAATAATTTTGTAACTTTAAAATTTTTCAAACAAAATATTAATGCTTAAGCTTCACTGTGTTATTTAAAGATATATCATTAAAATATTTCAAGATTAAGTTTAACAAGAACCATTTTTGGTTTCACATTTACGAACACATTCTGACTTCCATTACTTACTACTTGAAAAAGAAGGTTATGAATGAGATATTAATTTCTTTCATAACATTTTTTTTTAACTTTTTCTTTCCACATTGCAATTTATGTACAAGAAAATTATTATGCAAAGGTTCAGCAACGATTGGTCTGTGGAGACATCTTGAAAATGTCCACTAATACACTCGCATATTAGAAAGTTCTACGTCTCATCAAAATAAACAGAATAAAGTTGAAAATCTAACTAATGAAACTATTTTAAAATTTGTAAAACGACCAACCCTGGCTGAATTGATTTCTAAATTGGCTGCTGAGGACAGTATATTGTTCACTAAAATTACTAAAAGTGAATTTATATGGCAAAGTATGACCACCAGAGGATTTAGATTACCTCAAAATCCTTCTGAGGTGAGACAATTAATGGTGGAATTTTACCATAGCAAGAAAGAAGAGTTCAGCGTATCTATTGACGAATGGAAAAGCGTTAAAAATCGTAGATTAATGGGTGTTCATCTATACAGAAATAATGAAAATAATTTATTTAACCTTGATTTGACTTTTATCGAAGGAAGTTGTACATCAGAAATAACTTTGGAAATACTGTCATTTAAGTTAGAAGAGTTTTGTCTATCTTTACAAGAAGATATTGTGGCTGTTATGAGTTATGATGTTGCAGTTATGATATATATATATATATATATATATATATATATATATATATATATATATATATATATATATATATATATATATATATAAAATAGTAAAACATAAAAAAAAACACATCTAACTTTTGTCTTCAACAAGTTAGCTAATAAACCTACTTGTTGAACGACAAAAATTAGATGTTTTTACTAATTTATTATTGCTGTTTTTTAAGAGCATTGAGTACTCTATTTGTAGAATACAATAACATAATTTATACACACACACATACACACACACACACACACACACACACATACACACACACATATACTTATATATTCTATACACACACATATACATATTATATAGTGATGTAATATAGTAGTTAAGTGATTATTATATTGAATCTATAGAGTTTGAAGATTTATCTATAGGGTTACCATATTTCAGAAGCACTAAAAGGGGAGACATTTATTCATTAAAGAACAGTGGCCATACCACAGTTTATCTTTCCTCAAAATTCAAGGATCGTTCAAGTTCATTAAAAAAAAAATTATCACTAACTTTACCAATGACAGTTATATTGGATAATCATTTTTGTTTCCAAGGAACTTTTTTTTAACAAAAAAGTTTTTATAACAAAATCACTTATATAAACAATAAATGTGCAGTTATATATAATTAGTTTTTATATACAAAATAAATTTTGTTAAGCAAACTTAAAAATAAGAATAATTTTATTATTTTTATTTTTAAGTTATATTAAGTTATATTACTTTCTTTTTCAGTGAACTATGTTGAAATACAATTTTATTCACTCTCTGAATAGGCATATTTAGCAGAGCTTTTACCTCTTTTTAAGAATGCAGCATCATTAATAAACATTTAATGAAATGTCTAAATGAAAGATTATTATAATTGTAATATACAGGTAATATAGCATTCTAGTGTTGTCACGGTACCAAAATTTCAGTATTTGGTACCGATACCAGTAAAAATCCACGGTTCTCGGTACCAATTTCGGTACCAAACCAAAGATTAATTTTGACTAAATTTGCCAATGAAAATTCACAATTCTTTGTATCAAAGCAAAACACAAAAACATGCTAGCTGAAAAACACACTATTTTTATTAATAAAGTTAAACAATGCCATTCTTCATACTTGTTTAAAATTGTGTTTCAACTTTTTCCAAAAATAATAAATGAAAAATTACAAACCTAAAAAACGCAATTTTTATAAATTAAACAAAATGTGCCATGACCAACAAGTAATAAACTAAAACATTATTATAAATTTAAAAAAACAATGGCATAATTTAAGTATTTCAAGCCAAGGATTGTAAACATTTAAGTAATTAAATAACTAGATAAATAACAAAACAATAAGCCATGACTGAATAATCATTCTTATTTATAAACTTTAACATTTTTATAAATTAAACAAAATATGCCATAACTGAACAACAAGTTGTAAATTAAAATATTATTATACATGTAAAAAAACAAAACAACAACGGCATTATTTAAGTATTTCAAGCCAAGGATTGTAAACATTTGAGTAATTAAATAACTAGATAAATAACAACATTTTTTTCAAACAAGTTTCACCCAAATCAATACTTGTCTACACAGTTATTCCTTAAGTTACTTTCTTTGCCATTTCCAGATTTTCCGATAGAAACACTAACATATCAACATGTTCCTGACTCAGTCTTGAGCGTCTTGGGCTAACAATGTACCCTGCAGTACTGAACACTCTTTCAGATGAACAGCTAGATGCAGCAATGCAAAGGTACTTCCTGGCAAACTCTGATAGTTGAGGTAGAGTACCCATATTTGTTTTCCACCAGATAAGTGGATCATCCTCAGCACTGACCTCAGGCATCTGATCGTACACCAAGAATTCACCATTTATCTCGTCACTTGCAGAAAGAGGTGCTTGACTTGAGGATGCTGGCTCTCCTTTTTCTTTCTTTTCCCCTTGAATGGTGGAAAGCAGAAACTTTAGGTGATTTTTGGATTTTTTTGATGGCCTGACTTCTTTACTTGACAATCCTTCAGACACCCGAGATGCAATTCCTTCTTTTTCATTGCCCATTTTTTTCACCTCATCCAGGAGACTTTGCTTCACATCATCCTTTAGAGAGACAAAGCTGTTCTTAAATCGTGGATCAAGGTAGGTTGCAGTGTTCAAAAGAAACCGAAGCTGCAGGTCATCATAGCGATGCTGAAGATACTTGTGTATCTTTTCCTTCATCTCTTTGGCTAATGCAGAGTCACTTTGTTCATGACTGAGACACTCAAATATCTTCCAGAGTAACGGCAAGACTGAAGACAGGGTGGTATGTTTTTCCCCGCTAAATGCATCAGTAAAAGGACTGAGTGGCTCAAGAACTGCTTTAACAGTTTCTAAAACTGTAATATCTGAGTCTTTTGGCATCAGATGCCATTTTTTCCTGTCAACCTGCTGCTGCTCCAAGAAACGTTCCACCATATCGTATGAAGAATTCCAGCGAGTGGGTTCATCATGAATGAGTTTGTGGTCTGGAGAGGACAGATCTTTCTGTTTCTTGGTCAGCTGGCGTAAAAGTTTTGGGGATCTTGTAAAGACAGAAATAGTTTTTTGAAGCCTTGACAGCACTGCAGACACCCTGTTTATGTCTAATGCCTTATTTACAGCAAGGTGGAGATTGTGTCCAAAACAAGGAATCCAGGGGTAGTCCTCAAAGGCTTTTTTGTTATTTGAGGTACTGTCTGTTGTGATGCCTGACATTCTTGCAATGTCCAACTTCCAGTCTTCAAGTTTTTCATCAAAGGCCTCCTTCAAACTTTCAGCAGTGTGGTCTGTGTTGAGACCACAACAGCCAAGACACCAGGATTGCAATTCCCATGATTTAGTAATGTTCTGCAGAGTTAAAGACATGAAAGTGTCTGCAGTTCTACTTGTCCAAAGATCTGTTGTGCAGCTGTAAAATGATTTGTCACTGAGATGCTGGATTATGAGGTCTCTGGTGTCATTGTACATGCGGGGAATCTCAGTGTACATAAAAAAGTTTCGACTTTGGAAGCTGGTATTTTGGGTTGAAATGATGGAGCATTTGTTGGAATCCACATTTTTGAACTGTATAAATGGGCACTTTATCAATACATATGAATTCAGCAACAGCTAGGTTCAGCTTTCTTGCCTCAGGTGAGTTTTTGTCATATTTTTGTTGCCACTGAAAAGCTTGCCTGTTTATGAGTTTGCGGGGGTGTTCCATGGTCTTCCTCAGCTTGCAGCTGTAAATGGAAAATATAATAAATATACTTTATAAGTATAGAAGTCAAAAATGGGCTGAGTCTGAACAAATGAAACATTAGTTTTTCTCTAAATAACAAACCTCAGCTTTTATAATAGCCTATATAATAGCCTACATAAAAGCCTATATAAACAATTTTAATAAATAATTAGTACTTGTAAAAAGATTAAATATTTTAAATTTTGTTAAAAAATACTTTACACGGTAGGTAATTACATAATTTCTATTAGTAGCACCATGGAAGTAAAAAAGTAAAGGATTAGAAGGATTTTCCCAATAATTAAATATAATATATGTAGTTTTATTTATTTTATAAGTATGTATTTTTTATAATAAATTTAAAACTATTTCTATAACTATATTTATTTCCATTTTTATAATGCGATAAAAACCTTTAATACTTTAATCGAAAAAACTATACATAAAATTTTATTCGCTAAAGCGTTTTCTTCGATAAATATTTTTTTTTTTTTTGGAATTTTTTTATTTATTTTTTTGAAGAAGGAAAGAATCAGCAAAAATATATATTTATATTATCTTTTACTAAATTATAATTTTTTTTATTAAATTAAATCGTTTAGAACTATTTTTAATATTAATTTTATTAACAACAACGACTTTATTCAAAACATTGAACGTTGTTCAAAACTTTTAATGCTTAAACGTTTTAATTCGAAGTCACTTAAAAAGTTACATTTCGCTTTTGTCACCGATTAAAGTCACCGATTTTATTTTCTCTGTAAAGTCATTCTATTAAAGACGTCAAAATCTTTTTACAGAAATACTTATTAAAAGAAAAGTCTTAACAATAGGTTGTAAAAAAACGTAAAAAAAAGTAAAAATTTTTTTAATTTAATTTTTAAGCCTATTATTGTTATTTTAATCTTTCTGTAAGACTTATTTTTGGCTGTTTATTTACCTGTTTCGGTACCGACTTGGTACCGAAGTACCGTGTACCGTGACAACACTATAGCATTCACCGAGTTTTCTGGTACATTGCCTCTTTCTTTTGACCATTAAATAGAGGAATTGTGGTTGCATCAAAGAAAAAATGGGTCTGCATTTATTTTTTATAAACATTTATAAGTTCTGAAACTAATCAAACAAATTTAAATCATTAATTTCAGTATTTTTATTAGCAAGATATTCAACACATTGTTCAACTTTATTCCAGCTGTTTAAATGCTTAGAAAAAAGTTTCCAATCAAAACATTCAAACACATTAAAAGAACTTGTCCATTGTTCTAGGTAAGCAGAATATGAGTTATGCATTAAAAACACATCTGTTATAAATGAATCACAGTCTTGGTCTTACCCATCTTCCCTTAGATTTTGCAACAATGATTTTATGTGATACAAATTTTTTTTTTTCTCTATCATTAGTAATCAAGTTAACATAATTCAGAAAATCTACAATTTCAATTATTGATTAGTGGATCCAATCCTGATAGTACAAATACCTGCATTACGAACTTTTTAAAGTACCGAAATACCGGTATAAAAGTTATATGTACAGGGCTTGTGATATACTGAGTGTGATTGCTCTATTTACGCAAAACACGCACATAATCGAAATATTTAAAACATCCGTAGGCAATAAACAAGGCATGTTTATCTTGTAATGAGACTATAAAATTACGCTCGCTCAAGAGTTAAGGATGAAGAAAGTAATAAGTTGCTTAATTGATTTTATATAAAAAATTATTGATAAAAATCTTTAGTTAAAGATAAAACTTGTTTAATTTGAAAGAAAAATTCTTCTTTCTATGAAGAAAGGGGGGGGGGTGGATGATCAATGTTTTTTTTGTACATTTAGTTGGCAAATTTGACCCTTTTTGACTAGTTAGTCAGCAAATGTAGACCCTTCCGTTAAGTTAGTCTGTAAATTTAGAAAATCAGCCAGCAAATGTCGTTAAAACAGTTGGCAAATTTTGAAAAACGAAGACCTTTTTTTTTTGGTCGGCAAAGTTATGGCACACACACACTCACGTGACACCTACTTACACCGGGCCTGAAAGCACTGATTATAAATATTACTATTTGGTCACTAGCTTTAATGTAGAATACATGTTTGAGATTTGCACTAAATTAATGAGAGAAAAGTTTGAAGTCAGATTTGATTACAGCTGATTTATAATATTGAATGTTTAGTATTCATTAGCAAGCTAATAGAAAGAGTAGTTTCCAATCGTCTTGATTCTTATAAGATAACAAAGAATCTACATATAGAATATCAATATGGATGCAAAAAAATCACTTGACTGAAACACTTTTACTTAAGCATACCAATGATATAATTGAACTCTTTGAGAAACATACACCTTCAGTACTAATGTTACTTGATCTAAGTACTGCCTTTGACACTATTGATCAGCAAAATATACTTGGGCTGTGTAATATATATAGAGCATCACAAGTTAAATATCTACATGAGACAACTATACAAATATCTGAAGATAATCAGTGGTAAAACTTTTGGATAACCAGATGATTATCAAACTAAAAAAGCATTTCTTCCTTCATCTCAATATAATGCACTAGTCCTGGATATCAAAATGTCTTGAATACATATCTAAAATATTGAGTGAATCATTCTTATTTTTTTAACCAATCAAAAACAAAAATATAAATTATGGCACCACCTAGCAATCAAAAAGATATTATTATTAAAGGTACTTTTGTTAACAAGGAGCGCATTAGATTTGTTGAATCAGCAAAAGGTTTAGGTGTGATAGTTGACAATAAATTATTTTTGAAAACGCAAATAAATAAGATTTTATAAACTGCTACAATATATCGAGCAAAATATTAAAAAAAACAATTCTTATAGCACAAAGATTTGTACACAATACTATGTTCACTAATATTTTCACTGCTAGATTATTTTAACTCCCACTACTTTGAAGTTAAAAACACACAATTAAAAAAACTACAGCCTGTTCAAAATTGTGCAGCAAGACTAGTATTTAAAACCAAAATAAAAAATTAAGTAAATGATTAGGAATATAACAACTTGCATTGACTGAAAATTAGATAAAGAATCTATTTCAAGGTCCTTTTAACAACACACAAATCTATTATTCTGGAAGCATCAACATCATTAAATTCACTACCTAATGTCAGAAAGAACACTAAAATTATAGGAAGCAAAATGCAGCAATCATTTTGGTAATCAAGTATTCCTAAACTTTGAAATATACTTCCAAATATCATCCATAACAAAAAAAAACACAACTACTTATAAGAAAAAAACTAAAATCTTATTCAATGATAAATGGTGAACTATTCCACCAGAAAGCTCTTTTGTATTAAATATTGTACTAATATAATTGTTGCACAGCTGAGCAAGTGTTTTGCCAACTTATCAAAAAAATATTCCCAATTAGAAAATTTTGGCTTTATCTAAAACTGCTGAACATGTATACAAATCACCATTTCATACGTAAAATGTGAGTGGCATAATACCCCTTAACAAGGCATTATTAGATGCACTACTATTGATGTATTTAACTGTTCAATTTTTAACACATGTTCATGAAAAACACAAACAAAAGAGTGCAAATGACATACATACATATATGACTTCAAAGAAGGGTACATTTGTATCAACCTGGTTAGTGCAGGATAGAGTAATCAATATTTTGTTTTACTATGAGACATAATTTTCCTATACTGAATTTCTACTAAGTTATCATAAACTTTTATACGGTTAGAAAAGCAGCTCTTTTTTAACTGTATAAATGTTTAAGTATTGGTAAATCTTATACATAATACTTTCAACATCAATAGCCATTTGATCTGCAAAATGATGAATACAGTTTTTGAGAATATGTGCTGGGCAACCAACACCCAGATTTTCTCATTTAAAAAATAGTAAATTTTTTTTTAAATGAGAAAACACATTATTACTGCCTAATTTTTTGAAAAAATTACATTTGATCGGCAGGCTTTGAAAAATTATTTCGAGCGTTTAACACCTCCAAAGTTTGTATTACAATTATCGTCAGTAAAAGAAATATAATTTTGAAGCAATCCTTTTGTAATTAAGGTCTCTTTGATTTCAGTTGCAATTGTAACAGCAAATTAATTTGAAGTACTTTTTACTTCCAACAGTTTAGACTGCAGACTTTTTCCAATCAAAGTATTGAATTACAATAGGAAATAGCTTCAAGGCTCAATGGTTATTGCCATTAATTGCTACTCAAATGAATAGGATTCCTTGTTCTTCTATATCTTTCAGCACAGATTGGACAGCATTTGGTGCAAGTACATTATTAACAATTGTTTCAATCTTTGTTCAAGTACATAAATATATTTTTGCCATTTTAGAACCTTGAAAAATTGAGACAACTAATTCAGAGGTAATCCCTAGATCTGATGATGCTTCACTATAATGATGCTTTACTGTATGAAATGCAAAGGTAGCTTCAGCAGCTGCTACTTATCTTCTGATTGTGAGTTATGTATACAAAAACTAAAAACTAGAAACTTTTCTAGATGAGTTTTGTCGTCTTATATATGTCAAATGTGCTATGTCTACAAGTACAAAACTCAGAAAAGTATTCATTTCGTCCTTTTTTGAAGGATGGGTATTTATCTTGTAACTCAGTTGAAAGCTGTGTTTTTCGGTTCAGCACAATTTAAAAAAATGTTTTATAGCTGTAACATAAAAGAAAAAAATAATTAAAAAAAATAATTAAAAAATAAATAAATAAACAATTAACATTAATACCTAATTAAAAATATAAGTTTAAAAACGTTAACACATAATGAGTGAATTTACAAAGATGCAGTAAAATACTTATGATTAGCAAGAAACAATAAAAAATCTTTATACATTTTTAAGTGTAGTTGTTAGTGGATTGCTATAGATCACAATTTATCAACATATAGTCACAATAAAATTCTCTTTCTTGTGACAATATATGTAATTACATTGCTATTTCTTGTGACTTTAGTAACAACAAAATAATTTTTTTAATTATTAATCTAATTCTCTTCTACAGCTTGTGGTCCGAACAACTTACCTGTTATAGTCTTGCAGAAGTGTTCGCGGAGCTTTTGTCTACTTTCAAAACTATTTAACAAGTACCTATCAGAGTCTTGTTTTCCGGCCTGCTGGAAAGCAGCATCTGTTATCCATATTTTCAAAAACTCTGGAGAGTAATCTGACTTATCTTACTACCATCCCATTAGTCTTCTTTCTATCATAAGCAAGGTTTTTGAGTCTTTAATTAACAAACACTTATCCTCTTATCTTGAATCTAATAACTTTCTTTCTGATCATCAATATGGATTTCAATCTTCTTGTTCTACAGGTGATTTGCTAACAGTAATAACCGATAGATTTTATTGTGCATTAGATAAATATGGAAAGATTAAGGCTATCACTCTGGACATTGCTAAAGCTTTTGATAGAGTTTTGCATGCTGGTCTTCTCTCCTTCCTACTGTCACTTCAGGGTTCCTTAAGGTTCTATTCTTGTCTCTGTACTACTTTAATTCACATTAATGATCTTTCAGTCATTCTCACATCTAAGGTGGCATTATTGGCTGATGATACTAGTATTTATTCTTGTCTTGATAAGAAGCCAACACTCCTTGATTGCTTTGAGGGGGCATTTAAGCTTGAAGAGGATCTCACTTCTGCTACAGCATGGGGCTCACAGTGATTGGTGAACAGACTTTTAATTTTAAAAAAAGAGGACAGCCCCGGGGAAAATAGGATGTATGGTAACCTTTTTCTCTATAGATCAAACAATGCTATTTTTAAAAAAGGAAAGTTAAAACTTTTTTATAATTCCTATAAAACAAAGAAAAAATGAAATTAATTACAATAATTACAATAAATCATTTTTAAAATATTTAAAAATTAACACTTTTTAGATGATTTTGTATAAGTAAAATAAGTTTAACAATTTGTAGAGTTAACATTTTAGATAGTTGCTGATTTATTTAATTTCACTTTTGCGTTTGTTATGCAAGAAAGTATTCGTTTGTTATGCAAGAAAGTATTCATTTCTTCTCATGTCAAAGAAGAAATAGAAAGTCATTTGACCAATTGTGTCATAAATATATAAAACAATATCAGATTAGTTGTAATTAACTTAACCATAACCGAAGTTTGTAACACATGATGGAAAAATTTTAGATATGATTGTATAGCAGTTTAACTGCTATACAATCATATCTAAAGAATTAAAAATGTATGGCTTTTTTTCTAAGTTATATGAAGTGGCAAAAATGTAAATGACTCAAAATTTAAGTTATTAAAATTTTTGTAAAAGTTTTTGTAAAAGTTTGTGTAATGCAATATATGCCACAATACCTAAGGGTAATACAGCTTAGTTTAATAAAAAATTAATAAATTCTTTTGATTCTTTTTTGACGTTTTTAAAACTCATCTTGTTCATAACCAAATCAATTTCTAACTGGCAGTTAGAAATTGATTTGGTTATGAACAAGATGAGTTTTAAAAACAACAAAAAAGAATCAAAAGAATTTGTTAATTTTTTATTAAACAAAGCTGTATTACCCTTAGGTATTGTGGCATATATTGCATTACACACTTCTATAATTTTTATATGCTATAACAAGTTTAAGCATTTTCTGATTATTAGAATATTAAAATAAAAATTAAAAAGAATATTAAAAGCTCAAATTCTAAATTTGAGTTTTTTTTTTGAAATATAAATATATAGTAAAGGTAAAGCTACATTTAAGCGGTCTAAAATAATTTTATTTTTTCGGTTGTGGTGCTATTGTCAGTGGAGGCTTTTTAAACATTAGAAATATTAATTGAAATAATAAAAGAAATTAATATATATAAAAAAAATTACCAAAGTTTTCTGAAATAAAATCAAAACACATATAACTGTTGCTAAAAATGATAGCAATATAATCCAACGTCGCCAAAAACCTCCAGATATAACTGTTTGCATTTATCTTATGTGTACGTAAATAATTAGCTAATTAAGTTTGGTTTTAAATATAAATTTATCTACAATGAAAAACATAAACATAATTTGACACTATTATATGTGTATATAAATCAGTTAATAATAAACGTATTAGTTATAAATTAGTTATTATAAGATTTTTATTTGACTATATTATTAATTCTCAAAATTTTGCCTGGCAAAAATTAGGAGAGTGATTGTAGTAATCACTTGCCGCTAGTATTAATGAGACCAGGGCCTACATTATTAATTAACCCTATTTAAAATATAACAGCTGATGTAAATGAAGCTGGGTGTAACAAATTTCCAAAGGACCATAATTATTGAATATATAACCCATTAATTATAAATTATTAAGAGATTTAGTATGGTTAAAAATATATATAACCATTGTAGCAATTTACAATTTTTATCAATTTACTAACCAACAAAAAAAAATTACTTTTAAGTTAATAAAAACAATAGTAACTACCAAAATTAAACATCCAAAAAAATTTTTAATAAAAATCTTAGTTGATACCAAACAGGACAATAAAACACGCTTGTGTTTGTGTAAAAACCACACTAAATCAATGCTTTAAATTTGATTCAAATAATTCTAACATCAGAAGTTGCCGTAACAGTTATTTACGCGTACCCTCACTTTTCTTTATTTTTTTTTTTTTTTCTTTTTTATTTTTTTTTCTTTTTTCAGCTTACAAAGTTAGTCGTTTTACAATACAATAAACTATTAAAATTACTTTACAAATATATATATATACAAATCGTGATAACAGTGTAAACTAGGTTTCCGAAAGAAGATCACTAAGATCTTATCATCGGAACCTTAAAAAACATTTATAAACAATATAATTTACGAATACCTTGTAAAGTATACGTTACAGTAAAGTAAAATATATATATAGAACTTTTACATTAGCAAATCTTTAAATATAAATAGTTGTTAACAACAAAACTTTAGGGAAAAATATTAAAAATTTAAATAATAGATAAATTAATTAATAGTACTCTAAAATGTTATCGAGGGAAAAAATTAGATTTTTAATTTTGTTTTTAAAAAGACAAAAAGAATTTGGTCGATCAAAATCAACATTAGGTAAAACAAGTTTATTCCATAGGTGCGGTGCACGATAGGCAAGACAAAATTGATTAAAATTTGTTTGACAAAAAGGTTCGTTAAAGATATTTTTTCTTTTAAGAGTGTATTTGTTGCTGGGTTTTAAACTAAAAAAATCTTTAAAGACTGGGGGGGATAGATTGTTTTTCCACATATAAACAAAGCATAAAATTTTTAAAACGTTGAGTTGAAATACATTTAAAATTTTCATCTCAATAAAATAAGGTTTACAATGAGAAAAACGATCAGCAAAGTTAATTATGCGAATTGCTCGTTTCTGACAGCGATAAAGACGAAGTAGTTTACTTTTTTCAGTACTTCCCCAGGCAATATTAGCGTAGTTTATGTAGCAGTGAATAAATGAGAAATAAAGTTGCCTTAAGTGTTTCTTATTGAGATAAGTTCGAGCTTTGTACAAAACTCCAATGTTTTTAGAGACTTTAGTGCATATATAGTTAATATGTTGATTCCAATTAATGTTCTCATCGAGATAAACACCTAAAAATTTAATAACGGAGTCTCTTTTTATTTCAATTTCATCAATAAAGATTGGAGGCAAGTTTAGGGGTAAAAATTTTTTTTTCCAATTCGAATGAAAAAGAGTCCATTTAGTTTTGTCAGTATTTAAAGTTAATTTGTTGGACTTGAACCAGTGGGATAAAACTTTAAGTTCTTTATTCACTGTGACAAAAAGTTCGCCAATATCGCTCTTAGAGATGAATAAATTAGTATCATCAGCAAACATGATGCTCATCAGATTAGTTGCTTTATTTAAATCGTTTATATAAATTAAAAAAAGGAGAGATCCGAGGATTGAACCTTGTGGAACTCCACAGGTTATACTTAAACAATTGTTGTGATAGTTGTCATTACTAACAACAAATTGTTTTCTATTTGTTAAGTAACTTCTGAACCACCTTAACGCTTGGTTATTTACTCCATAGTATTTCAGTTTTTTGAGTAGGATGTGATGGTCAACCGTATCGAAGGCCTTCGATAGGTCGATAAAAATACCTAATGTATATTTTGATTGTTCAAACGATTTTGAAATTTCATTTACAAGTTGGATAATTGCATGCTCTGTTGAGCTATCCTTTTTAAAACCAAATTGATTAACATAGAGTAGGTTATTTTTGTCAAGGTGTTTATATATTCTGTTGTACATAATTCTTTATAAGATTTTTGAAAATACAGAGAGCACAGAGATGGGGCGATAATTAGTTATTTGGGATTGGTCACCATCTTTATAAATAGGTGTAACTTTGGCAATTTTTAATTGTTCTGGAAAGATTTCTTGTTTAATTGAGGCATTAAAAACTTTGAAAAGAACATCTTTTAGTTGCTTAAAGCAATCTATTATCACATTTCCATCTATTTCGTCTGGTCCACATGATTTATTCTTTTTAATAGATTTGAGCGCCTTTTCAAGTTCTTCAATTGATAAATCAGAGGATAGCTCATCAGAGAATATGCACTTCTCCAAGGATAATAAAAAGTCACTAAACAAAGTTCTTGTGATAGGAATCTTGTTTGATAGTTTAGGACCTATTTCAGTAAAAAATTTATTAAATTCATGTGATATAGCGTTTGGTTCAAATATGCTAGTGTTTTCTATTTTAATCATTCGTGGCAGAAAACCAAAGCATGATTTTTGTTTTCCTATAATTTCCTTCATTATTTCCCAAATTTATTACCACTATTGTTTTAACTTAAATAAAAACAGATTTTCAATAATATCCCTAATATCCTCTATTTTATATATATTATAAAAATGCTTGATCCATCATTAATATAAATTTTTTAATGGTATATTTTTATTTACACTTTTTGCAATAAAAATAACTCAAACTTGGAACGATAAAGTAAGCGATTTGGCCACGAGGATCTCTAGCTAGAAAAGCTAGCGGTTGGCTGGGAAAATTTCGCATAACGTTATTTCATTAAATATTCATATATACGTCATATAATATACCATTATCATTGTTATAACATAATATTAACTTATTTCCTTATTACTAGTGTTCCAAAGAATGCAACATCTAATCGTTGCAGTCTGTGTGTAGTATTTCTTTTTTTTTTTTAGTATGTATTTAGGTGTTCCCAGAAGTCCTTACGGTCTTATCATAGAGCACCACGGGTGAGCAATTAACAGGAAGTTCACGCCTCCTTCCGGTATTATCAATGTCGCTTGTTGGGCTAGAGCTGGCGTCGCCAGCTCTAGCCCAACAAGCGACATTGATAATACCGCATATGACTCCCAAATATTTTGTATTAACATGCATAACATAACCATTTAGTATCAGCAAAACGTTTGATTTTTTTTTATAGTTTAACAATTCTTATAAAATGCTTGAGCCAACCTACAAAACCTTCACTTACCATCCAGCTATTCCAATACGATTCCTGGTAATTCACCTGTTCTTCATCTCAGGGTTTCAACCTTTTGTGTTTGTAAATCAACATTGGTGGAAAATATATTTTTGCTGAATTTGAACAAACTACAGCTGTGACTACATTTCTTTATTTACTAATGTTTATCATACCAACTGGTTTATTACTCCCTTACACCAATGGTTTTCATCTCAACATTTTGTAATATTGATAAACTAGTTTCATTCAAGTTAACTTTATTCCATGTATAACTTTAAAAGTAGATAAAAGAAAGATTGTGCTTGTTCTTTGTTAAACCCACATGCAAAGAATGTCGAATTTGTTGCTTTGTATGAAACAACAACACGAAGCAACAAATTCGGATAAATAAATGCATTATAATAACTATTTTTTGCCAGCAATAAGTTTGTTAAAAAATTATTTGTAATATTATTGCTTTAGCAGTTTTAAATCAAACTTTTATATTTTAAAAACTTTGATTTTTAGTATTGCAACACTGCGATTTTATTACGACATGTCGCTATCTACATATCGTGGCATTGTAGCTAGCTACAACATAACGACAAATCTAAGGCTAGTTGATGGCAACTTGTTTTAGCTTTTTAGCTAGCAAAATACAATAAATTAATAGCTACATATTATGGTTTTGTCGCTAGCTACTTTATAACGACAATTCTATGGGAGCTATTATGTGATTTTAGCCACGCAACGCTATTAGCCATATGTATATAAATATTGCAAGTTTTAAGTTAGCTATTTGAAAACAATAAGTTAGTAAATGCATTGTTTAGCTTTTTTGCTAGCTAAAACATAGTTATAAATCTATAAATATCAATAATCAACCAGTCAATCTCCAGCTAAAAACCTTTGGTGTGTATACAAAAACAGCTTTTTACATATTGTTATATTAATTTAGCTCACTATAGCATAAAGTCTGTATCTATTCGATAACTACGTATTGTGCATATACATATCGTTGCTTTATAGCAATCAACATGGTTGTTTTAGATAAAATTTCAAAGCGATAAAACTCAAATAAATAAAACCATATGCCTTAAATTATAAAAGTTGATATGGTATAAATAGAAATCTAGCGTTTATATTTTACAGCCTGTGTAGTGTAAAGTTGGTTTACAAAGTCTGCGTCTGTAGTAAGTATATAAGATAATATTATGTAATGTAATAATATTATCGTAGTATATATTTTAAATATGAATAAATAAAATACAAAAGGGGCTTGGTGAAAAGACTGAATCTGTATTCTTTTTGCCCCAGGTATGTATTTACATTTTATAATAAATAATTTTTAAAATTTTTTTTATGGTGAAATGCATAATAATAACAATAACTAAAAAAAAGTAGAAAGCGATTTTTTACAATATAGCAAAAGCAAGCGGTTAGATATAGCTAACCACTTTATTTTCTAGCTAACAATCCAAATAAGTGGCCATATTGTTTTCTTTATAGTTACAAGTTATTGCTAGCTCATGTAGCTAGCAATCCTCTTGACCAGATCGCTTTCTTTATTG